AGTAGAATGTTGGTCTCAGTCAGCCTCATTCACCATCACTAAACTCCAACATTGTGGAGTGAAATCAGTCATAGGCAACACACACAGATGAGGAGAGCTCTGCTCCTGTCGAACTATTTGGTCCACATTGTACAGATGAGAACCCTGAGGCACAGAAGCGGGTAAGAAACTTGCCCGAGGTGATTCAGCTATAGTATATGAACTGTATGGATTCAACCCAAAGGCAGAGTGATTCCAGAGTGTGTGCTTTTTAATCAGGACACTTCTGAGATCACAGAATTTAGATCTTTTTTTTTTTTACTAGTACAAAGCATAGTAAATGCTTCAGAGAACTTCTCACACTCCAGATTTGGTTGCTGTTTCCTGCAGTAAGCACCATCCCCACCCCAGACTTGCTTCTGGTCAGGACTCCACTACCAAGGACATACTCTATGCTTAACCACTCCTCAGCTTGGCAGTCCTGATTGGCTCTGACACACAGCTATCCACAAAGGACCCCAAATAAGATTCTACCAAACTGATCACTGGAACAGTTACTCACTGATCTGTGACTGTTTTTATTTTACACCTCTCAAGGTCTCAGTTAAGAGATCCCAAGTCTATTATGGCTCATCGAGATGAGTAGAATTAGAATTAGAATTATTGGCCCATGGTCTGGTACATGTAAGAGCCTTTTAGTATTAACTACCCATCACATAACATGCAAAGGAGCATCCAGATATCTCTGGTCCAGATCTCAATGTTTGTGTAAATGCAATTAGCCCCACCAAAACTGAGAACCCCCAAGTCAATTCAAGTAGTACTAGTGAGCAAGGTTATGACTGTTAGTTCTGTTTAGAGTATTTCAGCCCAGGTTTTAGGTTCCCTGTTGTGTTTGGACGAAAAAGGACCCCCTAATCAAATAGAGTCAAGTTCCCACATCTACTCAACCAAGGAACCTTATAGATGAGGCATATTCCAGAAGATGGTTAAGATTATGGTACAGATCAGTGAGGTCTCATGGGATTTTGCTGCTCATCATTGTCTAAGATTGCAGATCTTTTTCCAAGGTACGCAGGTAGGGAATTTACCAAAAGTGAAGGAGAGCAGTCTACCAAAGATGCGAAAAATAGAAACATTATAACTTCATAATGCTTTTTAAAGAGAACTAGACTACACTGGTTCCAACTTTTTCTTTTTTTTTCTGTACAGACAGGCTCTCACTACAAATTTTAAATATAATAGAGGAAACTAGGGAACAAACTATGCTGAGTGCTCAGTCGTGTCCAATGCTTTGTGACCCCATGGACTGTAGCCCACCAGGCTTCTCTGTCCATGGGATTTCCCAGGCAAGAATACTGGAGTGGATTGCCATTCCCTCCTAGAGGAGATCTTCCTGACCCAGAGATCCAACCCACGTCTCCTGATCCTCCTGCAGGGTCAGACTTATTCTTTACCACTGAGACACCAAGGGAACAAATTTCCCAGTTAATTATGTTTAATAAATTGATAGATTATTTTTTCTTCCAATAGTTTTTTGACAGAACTGACTTGTTTTTGCACTGTGTTAACAAAGCCTTAAACTAAGAATTATATATAAATTCTTAAGAAAATATAAATGTGAAATATAATAATGCTCATGAAAATAAACATACACTTTGAGGCCCTATTATTTTAATTCTATATAAATAAAATTATTAAGGAAAAATATAGTTCTAATAGTACTTTCCTCCTATCTTGGTCACATTAATAATTTCTTATTTTCTTATGAGTCAGTTTATTTCTTCATTAGCACAAAGCAAATATAAGAAGGTTGTGGTAGGTAAATAACTCTGCCTAATATCATTAATTGCTAACAGCTCAATTATGCTGTGATGTACCTATAATTGTCAATAAGTTTCAAAAATCCTTATCTTGGAGTCTATTATATATACAATTCATTTAAATTATATTAGTTATACAAATTTTTTAATGAAGCAGAGATTATACTTTCATTTTTCACAACTAGAGATAATGATCAAAGTATTTATGTGTACATTATATATTTTGTTCTGTTGACATTCATAATTCACTTATTCCGTACAATATTAGCACGTTACATGGGGGGAAAAGGACAAATCTAATTTTTTATGTTTGGATTTTTTTGAATATCTATACTATATATGAATTTCAGAAAGTTCTTTTTTTAAATATCTAGCCCAATTCCAGTAACATTTTTCAGGGAATAAAGTTTTCAAACTATTTTTACGTGATGGGACCAGATGCCATGATCTTAGTTTTCTGAATGTTGAGCTTTAAGCCAACTTTTTCACTCCTCTTTCACTTTCATCAAGAGGCTCTTTAGCTCCTCTTCACTTTCTGCCATAGGGTGGTGTTGTGTGCATATCTGAGGTTATTGATGTTTCTCCCAGCAATCTTGATTTCAGCTTGTGCTTCTTCCAGCCCAGCATTTCTCATGATGAACTCTGTGTGTAAGTTAAATAAGCAGGGTGACAATATCCAGCCTTGACGTACTCCTTTTCCTATTTGGAACCAGTCTGTTGTTCCATGTCCAGTTCTAACTGTTGCTTCCTGACCTGCATACAGGTTTCTCAAGAGGCAGGTCAGATGGTCTGGTATTCCCATCTCTTAAAGAATTTTCCACAGTTTATTGTGATCCACACAGTCAAAGGCTTTGGCATAGTCAATAAAGCAGAAATAGATGTTTTTCTGGAACTCTCTTGATCAACCTGGATAGCATATTTAAAAGCAGAGACATTACTTTGCCAACAAAAGTCCATCTAGTCAAGGCTATGGTTTTTCCAGTAGTCATGTATGGATGTGAGAGTTGGATGGTGAAGAAAGCTGAGCACTGAAGAATTGATGGTTTTGAACTGTGGTGTTGGAGAAGACTCTTGAGAGTCTCTTGGACTGCAAGAAGATCCAATCAGTCCATCTTAAAGGAAATCAGTCCTGGGTGTTCATTGGAAGGACTGATGTTGAAGCTGAAACTCCAATACTTTGGCCATCTCATGAGAAGAGTTGACTCATTGGAAAAGACCCTGACATTAGGAGGGATTGGGGGCAGGAGGAGAAGGGGACAACAGAAGATGAGATGGCTGGATGGCATCACCAACTCAATGGACATGGGTTTGGGTAGAATCTGGGAGTTGATGATGGACAGGGAGGCCTGGTGTGCTGCAATTCATGGGGTCGCAAAGAGTCGGACACGACTGAGCAACTGAACTGGAACTGGAACTGGAATGATACTTGTAGAATGGTTTTTAAAATACAGTAAATGTTGCATTTACAAGCCCAGACTCCAGAACATGAATCCTTGATTTCAATCCAAAGATAGTTGGTCAAGTGACATTAATATTCTGTGCCTGTTTTCTCCTCTATAGCATGGGGATGGCAACATTTTGTCCTAAGGATTTAAAGATTGATACGTTTGTGCTATGTCAGTAATTTCTGTTAATATTTTCCTGCTTGGAAGGAGTTCAACTCAATTTGAAAATTAATGATGCCCAAGTTCACGTATATAAAATGACAGTTTTTAATCTTCAAAATTGCATGAAAGCAGTATATGGTATACTTACACCTTAAAGGATACTCAAAGTATACTTTAGCACCTTATATGCTAAATTTTAAATCTCAAAGGAGTGAGCTCAGGAGTACTGCCCCTTGTCGTATGACTCTGAATAGCATGGTGGTGAAAAATCTCTTATCTTTCAAGCTGCTATTAAAACCTATATGATCCATGATGTCACTCTGACCATATGGGAACAGACAGAAAAACTAAGTTGGTATGGGGTCCAGGCAAGGTTAGGGCTAGGAGATGAGGAGAGTTCCAGACAGAGGATGAAGAAGCAATGTAAAGTAAAGCCAAGTACATATATATATCACATCCTAGGACTGGCCAGGCATAGTGAACCCAACACTCCAACAAGGAAACCTGTGTGCAAGCAGGCTCCTATGGAAAATGCAATGCCTCTGCTTTCTTTTCACTACTCAAACAAATCAGAACAATCTCACCCCAAATTTTTATCCTTTCCTCTTGTATGACAGGCTGGTTATTATCCAGGAATTCTGATGAGAATAGAATAGAGGGCTTCTGGAGGACATTCAGTGAACAGCTTCTTGTCTGTTACTAGAATCCTATCCGTTTAAAACCCTTCTAGCAGAGGGTCTTTTAGGATGTATTAACATTGGTTTTAGAATCCTTCTGTGACAGCACGTCATGGTTGATGAAACAGGAGTGAGGAAAAGAGAAAGGAAATATACACAGATGAGTCCTTGTTGTATGCTGGGTTAAGTACACCATGGCCAGTCCTGAACAGTGGCATATATAAGAGAGAAATGATTGACTGCACTTGGGTTACTGTGGTATGTACTTTGCAGGATTACATACATATATAGTTCCATATTCTAACATTTTCCTCTGCATCTCACAATTACCCAGAATTAGAGAGTCTTTAGTCTTTTCTTTTTTTTTCAGCAAATGCTCTATGGAACCTTGCTAACAATATGGTGCTTTACTTGGGTAATTTAAATTGATTATTTCAAATCTGATCTTACTTCTAGGAAAAGATAGACCTGCCTTTAAGGTATATCCAGTGCAGTGTGGTCTTCTTCTTGTGGCTAACATCTTCCTGGTGAACTTCTCTGCAATTTAAAGCCACTGATATGTTGATCAGTGAAGGAAAAACACTATGAAAAATATTGTCTTATTAATTGCAAATCTAATTCTAGATTGTATTTATATGCACGCATATCCTGGGAAGCCATACAGTTTTTAAATCTAGAAATATAGAAAACTCACTTAGAGCTATACTTAGAAACTTGCCCCTGGAGTGGCGTTGGTTGGACTCTGCTCCTCTGCCGACGCAGTGCTTGTGAACTGTAAGAGACAGTGAGTAAAAGAATAAAGAAGGAGAAGCACTCCATAAACCAGTGACTGCACGTGCTCAAGCCCTGAATTACTTGAGTGTTGACTGTAGTTTGCAAGTTACAAAAATGCTAAGATGTGATTTTTCTTTTAGGTGGGAAATGAGGAAGGATGAGAAATTAGAAGAGGAAGAAAAAGCAATGCTGGAACATCTAAAACTTATGTGCACCATCCAGGACTCTTCTGCCTCAGATAAGACAGAGGAACAGTAATCTGCAGAAAACAGCAACAGCTTTATTTTAGGAAATGATCACATGTAATGGAGTAGGCTTTCTACTCTGGTCAGAATGAACCTCTGAAGTGCTGTGAAGCATGAAAACCATGAGTAATCGCTGAACTGAAAAGGAATACAGCACATAAAGAATAAAATGCTTTATATTGTTCATTTTAAAAATAATTTCAAATGTTTTTTCTTTCCTCAGTCTTTCTCTTAATATGATATAACTGCTGCCATCTCGTGTTCCCTTTGAATTACTTTTTTTTTCCTTCAGTCGTCAAGTATCTATGACAACAGGCAAAATGTTTGGAAATCTTTTCCCTAAGGATTTTTAAATACAACATTTGAATGTTAAGTTGGAATCACTTGGCCCCTGGAGGGTCATCTGAAAAGTTCAAATTAATTTTATAGCCATAACCCAAGTCCAGATCTTGACTGCCTTTAATATCACCACTGTACCAGTCTTTTTCCCATCGCTTCTTCCTCATCCAATTTATTTTAATCAGAGCCACAAAAAGCATTCTCCTGAAGTATAACTTTAGTAATATCTATGCTTATGGTGGGCTTCATTGGCGGCTCAGTGGTACAGAATCCACCTGCCAATGTAGGAGTTGCTGGTTAGATCCCTGGGTCGGGAAGATCCCCTGGAGAAGGAAATGGCAACCCACTCCAGTATTCTTGCCTGGAAAACCCCTTAGACCAAGGAGCCTGGCAGGCTACTCCTGATGGGTTCGCAGAATCAGACACAACTTAGTGACTAAATAGCAGCAATCTACGTGTCCATAGTGATTTTTCAAGCAGCACATTCAAACTTCTAATCATATGCTTTCAGAACCTATACCCAGAGGTGCTAAGTTCAAGGAACTGCCTGTCATCTGAGCCACACACCTGTCATATTTCTCAGCAAGAAATCTTCTTTCTCCCAAAGTCATGTTCAAAACTCACTCCAGCAGTTCATTATCTGTAATTTCATAGTTTCTGTTACTTCTCTTATTTCCATTACATTGATGCACACACACATGCACAGACACACAAAAAATGGAATATGTTCTAGTGCCTTCTATGCCAAGTATAGTTGTATTTACTATATCCTTCCGATCAGTGCCTGATATTAGATTAAAAAGACATCGAAGGCTTTACGATGTAATTTGAAGACTCCCTTTATAACAGTAGTCACCCCAAATGTCTGCTATAGAGTTATTCATCTAGTGGACAGTTAATAAACACAATTGCTTAAATGGCTGTCATTGTGGGAAGACAGCAAAGACAATTAGACTGTTGAGCAATCTATAGGACATCTGGGAGAAGCCCTATATCACGAATTATTTTAGACCATATGACATTGAACATCATAGTTTCCGAGGTTCTCAGGTTCTTCAGGCCCTCACATTCTGTGATTTTTATAAGCTGTGTATAGACTACCTGATTTCCAAAGGAAGGTACTTGAGCATTTTCCAAAAACTGAAGCTTGGCAGAGGCCACCTTAGAAAGTCTCTTGCATTGTTTCCTTACATAAAAACACATGATTGGCCATGTAGTCAGCTGCTTGCCAAATAACACATTTTTTTTTCAAATAATTTTACTTTGGTTGGCCAGTATAATCATAAACCAAGTGTTTTAAGACATGGTTGAAGTAATTTCTTAAAATTATACTGAAGACCATTTAAAAACTGGTAAGAAACTTTTGTGAGAATTAGACTTTCTGTATAGTCTTACCTATTAACAGTTATTATAACAACCAACATAAGGCAACAGTTGACTTTTATTCCTTCAGCTTATGGATGTACTAATGCTGCATAACTATGTTTTATTAGAATAGACACTAAAATAGTTAAAAAGACTCATCCAAAAACTAAGTAAAATCATCTTATAAAGTTACAGGATTTCACATTTGGGTTCTTTTGCCTAATATATCTAAAGATCATCTGTTAACACTATTTTTAATGGAATCTGTGCATTTCTGTATTAATCCTGGAAAGTGATTTAGTTTGTATTAAAAAAAATTCTATACGGCTCCCTTTCGAAAGGAAAGATGTATAATATGGAGAGAATGAGATGAGGTGAAAGGAGATAAGAGTTTTCACTTGATTTCTGGTCTGCATGGCTCTATTAAATTACTGTAGTTATAAGTGCAATAAATTTATTTTTTCTTAAATTTTTAATTGGAGGATAATTACTTTACAATACTGTACCGGTTTCTGTCATACAGTGTGAATCAGCCATAAATATGCATATGTCCCCTCCCTTTTGAACCTCCCTCCCACCCCTTTAGGTTGTCACTGAGCACCAGTTTAAGCTCCCTGTATTATAAAGCACCTTTCCACTAGCTATGTATTTTACATATGGTCATGTATACGTTTCAATGCTACTCTCTTAGTTCGTCCCAGCCTCTCCTTCCCCTGCTATGTCCACAAGACTGTTCTGTATGTTTGTCTGCATTTCTATTCCTGCCCTGCAAATAGGCTCATCAGTACCATTTTTCTAGATTCCATATATATATGTGTTAATATATGATATTTGTTTCCTCTTTCTGACTTACATCACTCTGTATAACATGCTCTAGAACTAGAACTGACTCAAATGACTTCTTTTAATGGCTGAGTAATATTCCACTGTATATATGTACCACCATTTCTTTATCCATTCATTTGTCAGTGGACATGTAGGCTGCTTCCATGTCCTAGCTGTGAACAATAAAATTTATAATTGGGAATTTAACTGACAAGTCATTGATTTGTCAGATCATTGACTTTACCTTTGATGTTTCTTAAATTATGATAAAAAGTGGTACTCCAAAACAGTTTTTTTTCACATTCATTTTAGTATAAGGAAACAATAGGAATGCAGTTGTATTTAATAACTGTATATGCTTATTACAATGATATTATCTTCCTATAAAATATTCCTTCTGTGTTTTAACTGTATTTTTATGTAATTATAAAGTTATCTATTATTGGCCTAGCAATGTTAAAACAATATGAAATAATTTTTAATAAAATAAAGTTTACCCTTGAACAACACAGGTCTGAACTGTACAGGTTCACTTACATGCAGATGTTTTACTAAATACATACCACACTGCTACATAACATACAGTTGGCTGATCTGTAGATTCAGAACTGTGGATATAAAGAGTCAATTGGAACATTACACAGTCAGGATAGGCACCCCTAACCCCTGTGTTCAAGAGTCAACTGTATAGATGATAATGTATATTTCAGATATTTTAGATTGTCATCTCTATGAAAAAAATGTTATCAAACTACTAACCAAGAAATGGGAAACATAAATCGCTGTTTTGTCTACTAATATCTGTTTACTCTAAATATCCTATTACCCCAGTTCACAGATTCCTGAGCCAAAGGGAGCTTCAGGTAGTTTACATCAGAAATGTCTTATAAAAATGTTTTGTTTTTTTATGATTTTCATGATTCTTGAAGTATTGCATAATTTAAAAAAACACTATGCTAGGTGAAATAAGATAGTCAGAAAAAGACAAATGCCGTGTGATTCTACTTATATGAAGCATCTAAGCATAGTCAAATTCATAGAAAGAAAGTAGAATGATGGCTACTTGGGGTTACAGGGAGGGGAAAAGAGGCGTTCTTTAAGAGGTATAGAGTTTCAGTTTTACAAGAGGAAAAAAGTTCTGAACATGTTTCACAACAACATGACTGTATTTAATACTGCTGAACCATACACTTAAAAATGGTTAAGATGGTAGACTTTATATTATTTTATACTATTATATGTTCTTTTTTACCACACACACACACACACACACACACACACACAGCTGTAAGTGGAATCTCTACTAATGAACTTTCTTAACATGATGACTGAAAGCTTTTAAATTTTATTGGGGAACTATGAGACCTGTATATTCGGTATCAAAGATTATTCCACACAACAAAAAAAACTACCTGCTTTGCCTTTGAAAAATGTTTACAACAGCATCATCAGTAGAGCAGTAAACACTTGTTTCTTCAGAATTTAAAGCATCCAAAGCCCTGTAAATCCCTTTTCCCCTCAAAATTTCATAATAACTACTTATAAGAATAAAGGCTTGTATTAGTAATTACTGTAGAATGAACAATACTATCATAACTTGGCAGCTTGAAACAACACACATTTATCATCTATAGCCTCTGTGTCAAGTGTCTGGGCATGGTTTAGCTGGATTCTCCGCTCAGGACCTCACAAGGCTGCAATGCAGGTGTCAGCCAGGGCTTGGACTCATCTGAGGTTCAACTGGGTAATAGGCCGCTTCTAAGTCACATTGTTGTTAACAACATTCATTACCTTGCAGGCTACCAACTCAGGACTTCAGTTTCTTGCCGTGTGAGTCTAGCCAAAATGGCCTCTTGTTTGCTCAGTAAGAAACAGACACTCTTGAGAGGTGAATGTTAACAACTGTATGTTACAAAATCACATGTATTTAATCATGCACATTCCATCCCCTTTATCAAATTCTAGTGGTTAAGAGCAAGTCACTCATCCCACTCAAACTCAGGAAGAGGGGATCCTTTTGTAGCTTTGTAATGGAATTTCCATTTGGTTCCTTACTGTAAATTTTAAGTGTTTGTTGAGAATTCCTGCATGTTCGTTCAATGTGAGTATATTTGAAGTCATTAAACTTAGTTATAATAGCTCTTTAAGTCTTGTCTAATGATTCAAACAATGAGTTAGCTTGGGATCAGTCCCTATCTCTTAAGGGACTTGTCTTTTCTTTTAAGAATAGGTAACTCTGTTTGAGGGAAGACTTCAAGACCACCCTTATATTCAGAGATTAATTAGGAGAACTCACACAACTCATCACATAATTGTACTCACAGCTCAGATTATAGTTATGTACTCTGTGTGTGCATGTGTGTGTGTGTGTTTGTGTGTGCATGTGTAAGGAAATCTCATTATAAGAATGTGGGAATATATCTTAAGGCCTACAGACCATATTCAATATACCAAGTCCCAGTGAATATTGGGAAGTAGATACAT